AAAAAATATCTACCATTCTATGGCAGAGGAAGTACATTTTTATACAAAATTAATGTATGAAATGTAAAGAACTCAAATTAGAACGATTAAAATAAAATGTTAGTGGTAAGTGAAGAAACTGATCTGCACGCTCTTTTGCGGAACACCATTCGGTGGTCATTAGTTCAAACCTCGTGTATTCCTTTCTCCTTCCTAGCATAGGATAGTTTATGTTTGCAATTGCCTTATTTCAAATAAATAAGGTTAAAATACTAATTTGGTCTCTTAACTTTTAGATTTATATTGAAATTGTCCTTCAACTTCAAAAAGTACCAATATTATTCCTAAACTTTAATTCTGATACCAAAATAGTCCTCAAACTTTGAAGATAATACCAACTTAGTTTTAAACTTTGATTACAAATATCAATATGGTCTTTCAAGTTTAATTATATATCAATTTAATATATAAATGAAAATATCACGTGATAAAATATGACTGTTTGATTTTACATATCATTAGTATTTTAAAAAAAATTAACTTTGTGACAAAATAAAAAAGTTACGTCGCACTTTTGTTAATAAAGAACTTTTTTTGTATTAAAAATTAAAATTCAAAGATAATTTTGATATTTCTTGAAGTTGAGGAATAATTTTAGTATAAATTTGAAAATTGAAAAACTAAATTAGTATTTTGACCAATAAATAAATAAATATACATATACAATGGTAAGTGGAGCAAAGTTATCACACAAAATGGTTTTTTTTTTCTCTCTCTCTCTCTTAATAGTTGAGTCTTCCAATAACAGTATGACATTAAATAAATAAATGTTTACTAATTCAAGTATGTGAATGGGCAAAAACCTAATCATAGTTACCACTATCTAGTATAGTAGTCAAATTTTATTATAAAAAGCATTGTGGGTGAATATACATATCCCTTCATGTGTCCACTAAGTGAAAATAGAAATTATAATTAATATTTCCTAAAATTACAAGATATCATTGTAAGAAAACTTGGTGTTTAACTTCAAAGGTTGAATCGGTTGGTAAACGAATGTATCATCTCATGGTTCAGCTTAAAGTCTTGGACTAATACCCAGAAAAAAAAAAAAAAAATCAAACGCAACATGTTGATGTGGAAGTTTTCTTTAAGATCTCTTTATAAGACATGTGAAACTATAAGAAGACACCCTAACTCTAAAAAAAATAGGGGAATCATATTCCATAGAATATATATAGAATTGAGTGTTAGCTATGGTTAAGGAAAGGCACAAATTCAACATTTCAGAAATCCTTGTCTAGATTAGAAGGCAGGATATCATGCATTTTCAGTAAGCATCAAATCTTAAAAATACCAGAATACCAAGTGTTTATCCTTTGAGCACTGAGCAAATGTTGACCACAATTAATTCATTATTAGCTGAAGATTGAGGCTAAATTCTCTGTCAAAACCTTCCTACTTTATTTATCCCTTAAAAGCAACTGTGAAAGGCACTAGGCCTTATGGGCCAACTGGTTAATAGCCAACTTTGAAGGTGCAGTTCCACTAATATAATACTAGTTCAAATTTCTCACCTCCTAAAATTTGTATTTGTTCAAAAAAAAAAAAAAAATCAACTGCCAAAGATTAATTAACTACCCTAAAGAAACTTTGTAGATAGGGGCAAATCTCACGGATCACAAAACACTGTACATAATATTTCTCTGTTCAAATAAGTGTCCTTTTTCTTCCCTTATTATCTTGTTAATCAAGTTTTTCCTGGATGAGGAGAAACTAATTTTTCATGAATTTTCTAGTTTGAGTGCTTACATTCGACAGGATGAGTTCTGCTAAAAATTATGTAAGAGCTATGAAAAATGATTCTAGTAAGGCTGATCCAAAGAGCATTATGCTAAAAAAATATATGAGATAAGGAAAATGATTCTTAGATTGAATCAAAGGTTGAGCTTTTTGCACATAGAAAATAACTGATATACCTTTTGGTTCGATGTACCTTTTGATACTTAGTTGGTTCAGTTATTAAAATATAATATAAGTATAGTCAATTCAATCAGTTTTTATATGCTGTCTGCATGCATTTTTAAATTTATTTATCTCTAATTTTAGACAAAAAATAATAAATTTTTAATAAATATATTATACATTGTGTTGAATCAAAAGATATACCAATAAGTATCCTTTTGCATATAGTAATTTTAATAGGAATCCCACATCTTATCACTAATAGTTTTGATTTGTGAGACAAAATTTTAGGATGCAAATTTTAAAATGAAATTATTTCATTAATTGATTATGCGAATCCATATATGATCCATACCATGATCTATGGCTACCATAAATTGGTTCTAAAAGTTGGTCCTACGACTCCTACCTATCTTTTTTTTTTTTCCTTTATTTTGATTTTAGATTGCATAGTAAAAAATAATGTCTCTCATTTTATAACATATTTCACATGCATACCATACTACTCAAACTTAAGAGTTCTTAATTTCACTAGAAGTAGACTACACTGAGCTATTAACTCGTTAATAGTCCTACCTATTATTATTCCATTAGTAATGCGTTGGTAATTCAAATGACAGTTCAAAGTACTCGGCCTATAATCGGCCTCTGATTTTTCAGCTTGAAAATCAGCTTTCAAGAGCTGTCTTCTTAAAAAATACTCAATCAATTCATCTCAAAGAACATATCCAAAAAAAAAAAAATCATCTGAAGAAAAAAATATTGATCATCCTATATGAAGGAAACAGATTAGACATTAGATACAATGTAAAATTAGGCTTTTGGGATTTGTTGCACGCACTGATCCTTGCTTCTCGAGAAAAACCAAATCATTAGGTTTCAGTATCACGTCTATATAAAACACAATTCCAAAGTACACAAATAGAAATTCAAAAATTACATTTTTGAAATCCCTAATCCCATATATATTTTGTAAACCCAAGATCTAGAATCATATAAAAATAGAGCAAAATGCCTACATCTCTCAACAATCAACATACACATGTACATATACATATATATCTTTAAGAATTCAAAATATATATGTACCTCTTTTACTGCCTGGCTTCATCCTGTGTGCCACTTGTATATATAAGACAAAGTAGAGGGGCGGGGAAGAGATCGAGACCTAGGTTAGGTATGGTTGTCAGAGTAGGCTCCGCCAGGCCCAGCGGCGGCTGCGGCGGCGCCGCAACGGCCTTTTCCAGAGCTTTATGAAGAGAAAAGCCTTAGTTGCCATCTACGCCTCCAAGGTGAAGTTTCTATGTGACTTTTATGTGACTTTTACATGTGGGGTGAGTTGTTGTTGTTGGGTCTTTTTTTTTTTTTTTTTTTTTTGATCAGCAAAATAATGGGTCTTTTTTTTTTAATTACCCACTTTCTCTCTCTCTCTCTCTCTTTCTTTTTTTTTTCCCCTTTTTCTTTTGGGTGGAGATTCATTTATATTTAGTTGTTTGTATGTGCTATTTTTCTTTTTTTGGCCTTTTGTTTATATGTGCTACTGTTGCTGGTGTTTTCCATATTTTTCATGGGAAAAATTGGAGTTACGTGAATGGAGTTTTGAATTGGGTTTCTCTTTGCTATTAAACTACAAAAATGCCCTTCGATTTTCGTTTTTTTGTTGCAACTACAATGGAAAGGGATGAAAGTTTTTTGGATTGGCAAACAAAATATTATTATTATATATGGGAGTACTAAAGCAATTTAAAATTTTTAAAGCATACGCCAGAACTCCATGGGAAGGGATGAAATATTACCTGCCTGAACTTGAATTCTGCTTCTGTGGCTTTATATGGATGTTGAAGATGGCTCTTGAGTTTGTCTACAAAAGATACTTGGGAGCAATGACTTTGGGCTAGGGTTTATTGTCTGCTTGCAAGTTGTTATGGGATCAGGTGTGCTATGATAGTGTAATTAACACCCAAGAGATAGAGAAATCACTAAGTTCTCACATATATTTGTTTAACTATCATTTTTTTACTTCATTTTATTTTTAAACTACTCTGTACTTTAAGGGATATATTTGTTATAGTAGATGTAATTTATAGACTATTAAGGTGCCTTTAAATTATACCAAAGTTGTATTATAATTACTTTATTTTTATTATCAATATAAGATCTATTTTTACTTTTCTTATATATATATGAGATTGGTTTTTGTTAGCTAGATTTCAAAAAAAATTAAGAGATAAAACACCTCAAAACTATATCGTTTCATTAAAACTCCCAGGAAAAAACCAAGAAAAACCTCATTTTAGGTTAGATTATTTTAGTTACTTTCAATGAGAGATTATTAAAAGGTTAAAATTCTAATTTGGTCCCTCTACTTTAACAAAAAATCATTTTAGTTCCTCTACTTAAGAAAGCCCATTTTTGGTCCCTCAAGATAAAAATCTGACCCCTCCTTAGTCCCTCTATTAAGTTTTTGTTTTGTGGCATGTTATCTTAATAGAAATTCCAAAATAAAGGGATTAAAAAGAGGTTTTTTTCTAAAGTAAAGGGTCCAAAAAGGTACTTTTTGTCAAAATAGAGATATCAAAATGAGGTTAAAGAAAGTCCTTTTTTGGTCCTTTCACTTTGAAATTTCTATTATTTAACGTGTTATGTGTACAAAACTTAATTAAGGGACTAGAAAGGAACCAAATTTCAAATTTTATGGATAAAAAATGGACTTTTTTTAAAGTAAATTGATTAAAAATGGACTTTTCTTTTCTAAAGTTGATGGATCCAAATGGAGTTTTAATCTTATAAAAATGATATAGTTTTAAGACCTTTTTCCTTTTAATTTTTTATAGATTTAACCAATAAATACCTTTCTTAATATATATATATATATATTTGTGTATGTGGAAAAGTGTTTTGTCAGTTGAACTTCTAAAAAATTAAGAAAAAACACCCAAAACTATATTGTTTAACTAAATTCTCATTAAAAAAAAGACTAAAATAACCTCTTTTAAAAACAAGTTTGAGATTATTTCGGTCTCTAATTTTTGTTATCTAAATAGCGAAAATGCTATAGTTACAATATTACGTGACATTGTAAACTAATAATATAATTTATTATTATATAATTAAGTTTTTTCATTTAAGAATCCACATATAATATTATATGTATCTATTTATTTAATGTCACATTATATTTCATTTAATGCCGAGTGGGATTGTTAGTGTACAATTCTACGTGATATTATAACTATAATATTGTTAATCTAAATAGAAAAATTCCTCCCCTCCCCTCTTCTTAAATCAAACAAATTATTTTATCTTTTGATATGTCAAATGATGGGATATACAACGGCACATACAACCTTTTCCTTCCCAAATCCTTCCCCAACTATCTTAGGATTCAAAATTCAAATCTTTGACATAAAAATTTAATTTTTTAATTATTGGTTGTTCTATGTGGGACGAAACTAAATAGACTATAAAAGTTTTAAAAAAAGAACCCTTTTAAGAAAATTACCTTTGGACCATCTTCCGCTTGCAAAAATGCTCTTCACTGCCTCAAGATGCAAATATAAATAAATACAAGTAGAACTCAAACTTAAGGATTTTATCATTACATAAGAAAGCTACAATTCTTAAAGGATTTCCTACTAGTTTCCCTCAAGCTTCGAGCTTCAAATCTTGGCTCATTTAGAAAAAATAGATGTAAATAGGGAGGATGATCTCCATGTCGTTTAACTTGCATTTCGATGCGCTATATATGTAACCAATCTACAATAAATCAAAAGAATGCATATAAAAATGATTCAAAAAGACGCAAACAAAAAATTAAAAATCAATAGTTAAACATAAAAAAAAATTAAATAGTTATAAAAATTATATCATGCAATTTGGTGGAGGGTGAGGGGTATTTTTCTTCAATTCAGTGGCATACATTTTATTCTTCTAAATTACGTAGTTTTTCTGAAATTGTGGCAAGTGGAAGTGGGGATTGACAAGGAAAGCTCTTTTCTTGAAAATTTCAACATTGGAATTCATTCCTATTTGGACTAAAATAACCAAAGGGTGCCAAACGAAGAGGCAACTCCACTTAACATGTTCTATTGGGAGTGGGTCAAAACACAATCAATATGTCCAGCCTCTGTACATTTATCTTTCTACATAAACATGAGTGCTCTGACTTTTATTTATTTTTTTAATAAGAAATTAATTTAACTACCTATTTGTTTAGAAAAACAAAATATTACCTTTATTTTGTTGATACATTGAATAATAAATTATAGATGATTTTATTTATTTATTTTAAAATTAAAATTTAAAACTTTTAATATAAATGATTAAATTTTTAACCATTAAAACATTCTCAAATACATGAAAGGTTGCTTCTTACACTATCTCTGTCGGAAAGATAGATGTCAATTTATGGCCAATTTCATGAAATAATTACAATCATAGACGACAGAGTGGTGTAGTTTCTTTGACTTTAATCCATGGAATTGTGTTCAAGCTTCAAAGAACAATAATGTTTGTGGATTGCAATGATAAATCTCTAAATGTTCACTTCTCTTTATTTCTCTAATCGTTGGCAATGAAGCCGAGGTCCAATACTAAGACAAGCATTGAATCATGAGACCTACTTATTAAAAAAGAGCCGATTATATATGTCTATTGTCATGTCATTATCACAAGACTGTATGTGTATCACTTTCCTACTTATTTCAGAATAGCAAGTTCAGCAACAGCTGCCGACAACATTTTACCGTTTGAAATCTGTTATTTCTTTTTAAAAAAATAAAAATGGCAAGTGAATCGGCATTTATTCCTAATGGTTCGACCCCAAGCTTTAAGTGTTTGGGTGAGATGGTCAGAGTTTCAAACTCTACTACCATCGTGAACTTCATCAAAAAGCGACCTGATGACCGCGCGTCTCATTTGAGGGGGTGAAATGGTGAAATGTTCATTCAGTCTGGGGATCAAATCCTCAGCTGCTAACAACTAATTCATATTAACTTCCTAACTATTACCCTTGTCAAAAAAAAATAAAAATAAAAATAAAAATAAAAATGGCAAGTGTTCCTTTCTGTTGCCATTAAAAGAAAAAAATTCATATTCCTCAAATGAAAGAGAAGAGGTAAAAAAATGGACTAAATTAAAAAAATTTAAAGAAGTTTTGCAAAAAACCATCAAGAATGCCCAAAGTTGTTCTGACTATGCTTATGGCTTCTCAGCTTCAAGATACTGGGAATGGGAGGCAGCGAGGAGGGCAGCTCCAATGCCTGAGCCATCATTTGCATGCACCAATTCTATGCTGTCAGATAGGTCTTGTCCGAGCAATTCATTCACAGTGTTCTCCAAGCACTTCTGGTATTCAATATAGTGCTCGTAGAGTCCACCATCCACTGCTATCACTGTCCTCTGTTTCTCCCCATCCTTGATTGTATCTCTTCCCATTTTCTTCAGTATACCCAAGATTCCAGCAGCTGCAACACGTGCCCCACGTGTGGCAACAATGTTGCAGAGTGCAACAATCAATTTTCTCATCTTCAGGGAGGAACTGGATATCTGAAATAAAAATAAGTAAAACTAGGCTTCAATGTGAAAGCACATGGTTAAGCAGCAATTAAGCAGGGGTGGAAGTGGGAAATCACCATATCTTTCTGATGAATGCACTGAAGTAAATAATAGGAATCCCAAAAGTTTCAAAACAGACAATATAGCTCAAAAGTGAAACTTCAATGAATTAATAAAAGCAAATAACATGGTTTCAGAACTGTAATGTATGGAGAAATAATGAGCAGGACTTAATCATACCTCTAGAATATCTTTCAGTTTATTGGCCACAACTTTGAGGTCAGGTGATGTATCATGATGCATTGCTGACATATCGGGTGTTCTGCATGTTAGGAAGATCAAAATATTACTATTACTGCTCTACAGATGATTGATTTTTTACATTGCACCAGTAACAAAATTAAAAGTAACAACATTAGATCACTCTGAAGTTCTTTCCATGGTTTCACCCAGCTAGGTATCATGTCATTGTAACATCATTGCCAGGAACACATTCGGCTCCTAGAACAGTCAAATTATTTGGACAAGCTCCTCTAGATCTATGGAAGAAGAATAACCAAAAGTAGAATTTACCTAGGTTAAACATCCAAAATATTTGTCTGTCCAACAGTCACACCAGATGATGGCACAAGGCATGTCATTAACTTTGGTAGTTTCATTAAATAAGAATGGTCTTGTCCAGAAGGGGACAATCCATGATTTGAGCACAAGTCTTCAAAGTTAGAGGTCAAGTTTGGATCCTGTGATGGTTCGAGTACTCGAGCTCATACTCTAGGTCATGAACTTGTGCACGATCTCAACTATTTTGAGCTTGATAAATACTCAAGTTTGAGTATCTAAGGTGAGCTCGAGTATGAGAACTTAGGTACTTAGCTCAACTCCTTAACAGCCTAGGTCTAGGTTAAGGTAAACTGAATCTTTTACTTTTCTTTCTTTCTTGCTTTCTTTCTTTCTTCTTCCTTTTTTTTTTTTTTTTTTTTTTTTTGCCAACAACTGGATCCTGTTTAAACCCAGGTCACCAGAGGCTTAAAAAAAGAAAAGAAAAAGAATGCCCATCAGATGTAGACATAACATATAGCGTGTGGTTTACAGAGACCAAACATGCCCATAATATTCAAGAGTTCTTGGTTCAATTAATATTTAGGATATTGGTAAATAGTGCCTAAAACCTTCCTTTCTAAGAGTGTTTTTGAAGTGAAGGCAAACAAAAAAAAAAAAAAGGTATTTGAAGTTATTTTTCCAAGACTAACTGAACTTGATGTGGACAAGAATAATGAGTTATTTGAAAGCTTTCAAGAGTTGTTGATTGCATGCTCTCTATTATTTCTCCTTTTCTGTTCTTCCCTTCTCCTTTGCCATGGTGCTTCAGGTTACCTAAAAGCACAGGAACAACATCCATAGACCTACTTTTTCTTCCCAATTGCAACCATATTCTTATACCACTGAAACCCTAAATCATCTACATCCTTTCTTAGCAAATCTTACCAATTAAAAACTAAATATACCAACCATAAAGACCAGATGCTTGCAGCCAGAACTGCTGTAACCAATTTCAACCAATCAAACCTATTTCAAATCCTAATTTTACTGTCTACAACAAAATTATAAAATAGTAGCTGGGTACACTGATCCCCAAACCAATCCTAAATCACAGGGTAATACAGATTTCCAAAGAATGATCTTCTTTAACAAGGAAGAGAAAGCTGTTTGACACCAACGGTCACATTTTTAAAACAGTAGTTCTCCAGAGACAGCACCTTTGAGAGTGCTAACCACTTGAACTAGAAGGACAAAAGTGCGTTTAAACAAAAACTATTTTCCAGAACTAAGAAGAGAGAACAAAGAAAAATTAAAAACACAACCAAGACACACAAACTCACACACACCAGTCATACAAAATTACCTCAATATGAATGGCACTTTAAGTTTTGGTGGTACAGTGTCACCAAAAAAAGCAGCTTCTTCAGCCATCCTGCATAGAACTCTACGTACAATTTCTCCCAAATACATGCCAGATATTAGCTTCTCATAAATCTGTGACAAGAAAGAAACTTTAAGATAACTAATAAAGAGAAGCACAAAGGAAGCAGAAGACTACAGAACCATGCAAGTACCTGTTCACCTGGATTCAAACTCTCTGCATCCAATGCATGATCATACTCTGTTAATGGAAGATGAGATGACCTAAAGTTGCCCCATTCCATATTGATAACCTAAAGGAAAAAACCATGGAGCAGATTCAGCATTTGTTTCACAGTTTCTAAGATTACATTGTCCATTAAAATTCATGAATATTTGTGAATAAATAAAGATAATTATTTACTTTCAGAATGATTGAAGCAACTAATTATTACTAAATAAACAGCTAACCATCTCCCCAGCCTTAGGTGGTAGACCACGCCACTTCGGTATTGCCAGTGAACGTTCTACATATGCCGCATTTGAGCCAGTACCTAGGATCACAGCAGCAACAACCTCACTGTCTGCGTACCTACCTCCAGCTAGTGTTCCAACCGTGTCATTGACCTGGTGTCATCAACACACTGTTTACATCAAGATAAATTGGCGAAAGGAAAAACGATGGTGATGACAGAAAGGAGCCTTCCACAGAAGGCTGACATAGCAAATGAGGAAAATTAAATGTTGGAAACAAGATGCACAATACTCAGAAAGATCCAATTACTCCACATTTTCATACCAGAGCTGTAACTCGCATATCAAGCCCTTTTCTGTCCATGGCTTTGGTCAGTTCTGCTACCACATCTTGGCCAACCTATTTATTTAAGTAGTTAGTAAAACAAGACAACAACAAATTTTAGGTCAAATAAGTAAAAACTATAAGCAATTTTGCTATCAGCTTTACATATTCCAAATATATGTGCTGGAGATAGGATCATTTTTCACCATGAGTAGCTGAGATTCATCATGACTTTTAAATGAAAAGACAATTAAATTTAAAAAAAAAAAATGGATAAATCTCAACTATTCATAGTAGAGAAATGAATAATCAAGATTTTGTATAGGAGTTATCTGTAAGTTGATCCCAATTCTATGTATTGTACTTTTAATTTAACTGTTCATGCTAAACAACGAAATATACAAGGTCTGAAATTATTTTTCCATAATCTTTTTCATCAGATTATGAACCACAGTGCTGAGCTAGGAGCAATGTTAATGCATGGTACTGTAATATAATTAAACATGGACTAAAAGTTTCCTTTGACCTGCATAAATATGCTTATGTAAAATCAGAATCCTCCCCCCCCATTCCCCCAAGAGAGAGAGGACTTACTGTATCATCTATAGAGAAGCCTTTTGTCCACCTAAGAAGAGTCCCAGAAGCAATGGATGATTGTATCACCGGAAATGAGAAGGTAAAACCTAACTCCCTCTGCATACCAGGAGTCAGCTGAAAATCAGGACCTTCTTGAGCAACAAAATTTGCAAGTTCTGTCACAATGAAGTCGAATAATTCCTGTGACCAAAATCATTTCTTAGATTTGAGAAACATTAAGCATGGACCAATGCAAATACTCCTCATAGTTGCTTCATAGCATAAGCACTTACATCAGAAGTCCCAGTCATCAGATTGGGAGGAATTGACACCTCAGTAAACTGCTGATTAACAATACCAGCATCCTTCCCTCCCAGTTGCACCCGCAAAACACGGAAGTTTGTTCCTCCAACATCTAAAGCATAAAATAATCCCTTCTCATTCCTGGAATTTAAAGAGGAATTAAACAAACTAATCAACAAAAATTAAGAAAAAAGTGCACTCTCTTTTCTTATTGCTTGATATTTAACATACAATCCAGCTGAATTCCAAGTACTTAAATAGAACTGCTTGCAGTATTTGGGAATTGTTTTTTCCCTTAAGGAGAAAGCAGCCAAGGGTAATCATTTAAAGTCAACAAGACCATCAAAATTCAATTCATTCAATCAAAAAAGGATCTCACTTAACCTAGACAACAAATTTTTAAGCAGAAAAATTTTGAAAATAAAATATTTGAGACAAAAAGGGCCAGGTTGAACACAATTGAATACATGTTTCCAAATATAAAGACTTTATCAGACTAAGCACAGACATAAGTCCCCTACAAACTACGACAAAATAGACACATGCAGCAAAAACAGGTTTACTAGCATTATTTGACTTAATTTATCATATTTCATACAGTTGTAATGGATTAACCATAATTACATGCATACACAAAGACAGAAATGCATGCTAGGAATATCCGAATCAACATTTCCAGTTAGCATATGGATCTCAATAAAATTGATCATAGACATTTGTTGAAATACCCAGTTGGCAAATTGTCGACATAGCTGATGAGCATCTTGAGCTTGCTGCCACCTTCAGATGCAAGGCCAGCATGCATCTCCACAGTCATGGCATCAGCCACCAGCTTCAGCTTCCCAATTGGGGTCTCACATTTCTCCTCAAACTCCTTCACAATCTTCATTGCCCTGGTCCACCTGGCAGCCTCCCTCATTTTGCGGTGCACCACCACAGCCGCCACCGCTGCCACTGCCGCAGCACATATGACCGCGGCCCCCACTGCCACCTTCCCCATTGATCACCCACAAAAGAAAATCCAGACAAACCGCAAAGAAAAGAACTTTCCAGAAGAAAACGACACCCTTTTGGATTTGCAACAAATGGGTATCCTTAGATTTTGAGAGAGGAATGACAAGAAGATCGGACTAATTTATCAGTTACGCATCTGATTCCTGAATCTCCAGAAGAAATTTTGATGAGATTAAAAGAAATGCAATGGAGAGACGAAAAACAGGGATCTAAATGTAATGAAGAGAAGCCTTTTCTATTGAGAACATTGACGATTTGATGAATGAAATATGAACAGAGTGATTGGTATGAACACAAGTAATGGTCTTTGGTCTGACTTTGGTTCATTCCGGTGAAATGGGATCATAATGGTCAGTTTGGGTGTGCTTGGTTAAAAAAATTATAAAAAAATTAGTGATGCAAAGAAAGAAAATTTGAGATCAATGTGGATGTGGCATATGGCATCGCATTAAAAGCTCATGGATAAGATATTATCGGTTACAACAATAAAGTAAAAAGGATAATTATTAACAAATATAAGAATTATTTTTTAATATTTTAAATAGGTTGATTTATATCATGTTTATTAATATTAAATTTTGATCTTATGAAATTCATACTTCTTTTCTTTATTCTTAAAAAAAAAAAAAAAAGTTTATCAGCAGCTCCAAAAGTATTGTAATAAATTTTTATTAATAAAAGACTAAAATATACTCTAATTTTAAAAAAAGAATGAGACTATTTAATCTCTTTTTAATAATACTTTATTAGTTCTTAATGTATTTTCATCTAATATTTTTATAAGTCTGGGTAGTAAATAGTAATTTTTAAAAAGATTAAAATTATGTTTGGAATTATTATAAAATGTTGTGGTTTTAGATTTTTTAATATTTTATATGAAAAAAATTATATTATTATTTAATAATTATTATAAAAAAATTTATATATTAATATGACTATAAAATTATATAAAATATTAATTAAAATTAATTTAATTATAATAAAATGATATTGTATAAAAAAAATGCCCGTAGAAAAGGAACCCCAAGTACAACCATCAATACAATTTTACGTATTGTTAATTTGTTCCATTAGTAATTAGCTGTCACTCATTTCCAAAGTAGAAAATAGAGAAGGTCTTGATCTAAATAAGAGCTCTCTCAGTGAGAGTTTCTTTGTTGGTTTTAAAGAGACTTTGACTCTTACACCATTGTGGGCACTGGGGATTCTCTCTTTTAAAATAATGGGACCCCTCCCTTTAGAGAGTTTTGCATAGGTAATACTGATACTTTTTTCTTTTGAGGAGTTTTTTCTTGATTTTGTGTACTAAAGAGAAGAGTCTATGTTGGGTGGGTTGAATAAAATAAATTATAATAGTCACTAGAGTATCTACCATTTTAACACTTTTTCTTATAATATTATATCTAAAAATATAAATTTATTAAATAAGAGCATGTAAAAAATTAAGATATTTTAATATTTAGATTATCAAAATATTCAATTATAACTATCATTTAAATAAGACTTTACTTAAATGATAATTATAATTAGACGTCTTGATACTCAAAGCATCATGATTTTCACTTTTTTTAATTAAATAATTAATTCTACTTAATATTTTA